TAAAGAGAGTAAAACATTTTTTCTTGCTTAAAATTACCATAAAAGGAAAATTTTTAACAAAACGGACGCGATCAGGAAAGATTTTTTTTTTACTAAAATTTAAAAAATTATACTATGTTTTTATAATAACTCATATATAAAACTTTGGCAAATTTGTCTTATTAATATTTGTTAACTTATATTAAACATAAATTTTAGTTATAAAAACAATAAAAAATTTTAAAAATGTTCTTAAATAATTTTAAACTATAGGTTTTTAAAAAAATTTTTTAAAATTTTTTTAATATTTGAATAATTATTTTTAAAGGTGACAAAAATGCTAGATATGATTTTTTCGGATCCAACTTTTAACAATACATATATAATACAAATTGTAAGATTACACCAGAAAATTTCCAGTCCACCTTCGAAAATAATTACCCATTTAAATAATTATTAATAAAGTTATATTAAAAAACCAATTTCAAAAAATTATAAATCACCCTGTATATATAATAAGTAACAACTTATATAAATAGTCAACAATAACTAATTATATTACTCTTACAAAATTTGAACTGATAAATTAGATAGTTTAAACTAGTAATAGGATTTTTATTTTCTAAATAAGTTTTTTCAAATATGTGTAAATTATTTGCAAATGGCTAGCATATTGCCAAGTATAACAGTAAATAGCTAGTGTTTAAATATAATCTTAATATTACAAAAAATATTAATCTTAACATTATAAAAAATATTTGATATAAGAAAAGTTGTAATATTTCTAATATTCCATAAAAACCTGTATCTAAAAAAGTAATTCCAAATTATATTTTCAACCAAATTTCCTTTTATAATAATACAAATACATGTATACCTTGAATATTTTATATATCTTATTTTTAATGCCTATTAGAAAAAAAATATATTAAAGATAATTACATTTTAGCATTGTTAATATTGGTTAGTAAAAGTCAAAAACCATAAATGGATAACCATGTATGACCTCAAAACAAGAAACAATTATATTTATTTCTAAAAATGTTATTTAATGCTTCGCACTGGAACTACATTCAACTAAATTTCGAAAGCTTTAATTATAAAAATAATTAAATATAGCGTAAAAAAATAGAATTTACTTGGGGCCAGACGAATAGAAAAGAATTAGTGAAAAGATAATTCCTACCAGAACCCGTATTATTATTATTGTCTTCTTTCAAATCGTTGTCAGAAGCACTGGTTATGATGGCGTTATTAAAGTTTTTCCATAGGTTCGCAACATTTTCAAATTCTCTTCCGATTGCCACCACACTTTCAAGGTTTTTATTGAGAACTGCCATGTTGTTTATAACTTGTTCTATTCCCTAAAGAATGCGAGAACAGAAATGTGATTGAGACAAAATTACGTGATAATGATAAAAAAGAGGTTCATGTATAAAATAAATCACCAGCGCTATGTCATTAATTAAAATTTCCCTTTGTTTTTGAAAAGGGGTCCTTTCGATCGTATCCATGTTATTGCATTAAACGTAAGTTGGATGCAAACGGCCATTCATCATTAGATATATTTATTGGAACGCGTCAAAACCTAAGAGACTTGATTGGCCACTTATTTGCAGATCGCATAATAAGGATCTTAATTGGCTTTTCCAGTTCTAAAACAATGGATAAAGGTACAGTACAGGCACAATTCATAATTGAATATAGCATAAACTCAATCTTCAAATTTCAACGCATACATATATATAAATATGTGCAGAGCATTTAGACTCTTCACGTTATCGACAGGATGATGGTACCATAAGTGACGATTCGCAATCAGAGGACGTGCATGAGTTACAAAATAGCGATTCTTTATTTGAAGTTAATGACTTGTCTAGTCCCTTTTCTACGCTCACGGATCCGAGTGAACTCGAAAATCAAAATTCAAATGATAACTATGAAGACGAGGACGAAGAATGTTTAGAACCTTTTGGGTATGAGCTATTATCTCAAGACGATGATGTTTTGTCACAAACCGACGAGCTTCAGGTATTTCTTATTGTTAATACTTTTATTATTATATTGTCACAAGTTGAAGTTTAGTTTTCAATTTTGATAAGGATGAAAATCACCTCACTCCAGAAAATTTGCAGATTTATACATCTGAAGAGGAAAGGATACCGGATGGTAATGTCACTGTTAGTTCAATTTAATTCAATGACGCGTTTCATTTATTTATTTTACTTATTCAATTCACGTAGACGATCTGACTGCCATTAATTCAATAATGAAAAATATTCAAATTCCCGATTCGGCGATACCAGGTAAGTTGATAATTATATATATATCTTGATTTCATATTGTGTATACTCACAACTTTCATTTTCACAATAGAATGGGCCAAAGTAATTCCCGAAGAAGCTTGGTTACCTGTGATTATAAATGGAAACGAAATTAAAAAATTTTCCGATTCTTAATTTGTTAAGGGTTATACAATATATACGTAGGTTATCAAATCAACAAATTTTAAATTAACATAATATATAATAAAAATAGTCTTAATTTTAAATAAAATAATAACAAATACAAATAGACAATAGAATTTAAAATTTTTGCTACCTTTATATTTTAACTCTATTTTTTTAAAAATTCAACATTAACAAAAATACATTGTATAAAGTAGTTATGTTTTTATCGGTTTATTCTCTCTATATATTCCCATTCCAGTTCTCTTCTTTTTTTCTTACACTTAATAATACCTTCAGAGGTTCATTCCCCCAAAAAACTTTCGGCATCTTTGCTACTTCCTTTGCTAAAACTTCTGTAAAGATCCAGTGAGGTTTCGTATAAATGCTTGTCTTTCTCTGGATCAAATGTGGTGGCGATCGATGGATCCTCCCTATGAATTTGAGATAACAATTAGTTTCCAGAAAACCAGCACCTGTGATCTTACACATCAACCAGTTTACCTGAAGCTTAATTTTTCATCAAATTGAGAAAGAGAAATTTGTGACGGACGCTTCAAAACACCACCACCAACGGGTGTATGAGAGGTCATTGGTGATCCAGGATGTTCATGTGTAAATGGATCGTAGCCCAAGAATGAAGTCTGTCCGTGTAATTTCGATGGTCTCGGTGTCGGTTTTTGATCAGGGGAAGGTGTCCGATCAAGATGCAATGCCAACGTTTTTTTTACGGGTGTCGTTTGCGCCAAGATCGAATGCGGCTGCGAAGAACTAGGAGATCGATTTACCTTGCTAGCGTCTTCTCGATAAGACTTTGAACAAACGATTGATTTGATTAACTCAAGTCATTAGCGAGAATTCGATTTTTTCATTATTCAAATAAATATTACGGTGAGTAAATCATTATCTCCATAGGTCCGATCGGCATCGACTACATAAGCGTTGTAAGTTTTTTGTTGTCCACGGTTTCTTCTTTGACCTGAGAAAGTAAGATCCATATAAATTTTGAGGTTCTGTAACATAGCTGCGGGTATGTAAATCCTGAACCTTTTGCTGTCCCATCAATTTTGAAAGACAAGGGATAAGGGTTAGGTGTATTTCCTACTCCTAATGCCCAAGGCGAATTTGGCGGAATAGATACGCTCGCAGCATTTTTATATCTTGAATAGATGGATTCTTCGGCAGACATTTTTTTTGGTAACGCGTAGGAATAAATGACACACGTGTGTGCACCTGTGGATCAAACAGCGCATAAGTACCTGCGTACCCAAAAGCAAGGGATCTGCTGGTGTTTTGGGGGTACAGTATATTGGTTATTGTGTGGCAGTATAAAATCAATCTTATCACACCGTCTCCTGAAATCTATGTCAATGATAACAAATTTAACAAATTGCGGATGGGAGGAATTAACACAAATACTTGCGGGAATCTTATATCCGATGGGATTTGATTTAGTCAAGGCATTTCCTGCCGAGAGGTTCGCAGAAACCAAATCGTCCATCTATTCAAAATTGATACTAGTTGTGCAGGCAGAACGTTACAACGTATCTCATTCTAACTTTCCTTGATCAGGTACAACTCCAACATACCATCCATGAGTACATTGGTTCCACTACCCATCACAAATTTTCGAGGTTCTACTTCTGTACAGCGTAATCGTTCATCCACCTTATCAGTAATAATAGGTAACACCAGACATCTTTGGTCGATTTTCATAGATTATTATGCAAAGAACATGAGAGAAAACATTGGCGATAATCAAGAAAATGGATCCGAAGAAAGCGACACTTATAAACAAAGTAACCCGTTAGATTGGTACACTCGAATTAGCATCGAATCAGCTGTGAAACGAGCCGTTTCAAAGTTTTCCAAGAATGCTTCTACTTTGGAATATGAAATTCGGTACGCCTTCGACCTGAGTGAAGATAGATTCGTGGCATTCCAACAGCTGGCCCAAGATGCAGGATTAGCTTACTATAATAAGATTTGTTATTTGAGTGTTCATCCAGAATATGGCCCGTGGATCGGATTAAGGGCCGTCGGTAAGCATGGTTACTCTTTTTGACATTACCGTCTCATAAATAATTAAATCATATTTCACGATAGTAACATTTGATATCGATGGACCACCGAATACTTCTAAACTATTCCCCACACCCGGAAATCCATATCCAAAAGGAGACCAATTGTTAGAAACCAAAATGGAAGAAGTTTTGAAAAATGATAATGGCAGCCAATCTTCAAGCACAAACGTCACGAATATCGACAAAGAATCTGTTGCCAAGACTAATTTTGACAAGCAAGTTATCGCTAATATTAGTAGAGACTGGTACAAGTGGGTTAAGTTGCGTGATATCGCCGGAGGATTTATGAGTGACGAAATGAAATTGAAATATAGATATTCTATAGAACAATTAGAATATCACTATACAAAGAACTTGAAACTACTGTATTGAGAAAATAAATTTATTTGTGACCGGTTCCAAAAATTCGGTTTTTTATGAGTAAAATTAAACATTCCAAATCGGGTCCGTAGATAATGATCTAAACCAGAAAAGCACTGATACTATAGTACTATGGACAATTTATACTCGCGTTAATACATTATAAATACTACCCGCAAAAATCCAACCATCCGACTTTTACTTAAATACTTTATAGCATACATATATACAAAGACATGTTTCGCGCAACTAGTGTCTTTTTTCTTATCACTTGTTTCGTTTTCGGCATTCATGCGGCCAGCATTACGATTCAAGTAGGGCAAGGTGGTTTGAAGTTTGTCCCCCAAAATATCACTGTCAATATTGGTGACGTTGTACGTATTCATTCACCTATCCAATTACTTTTGTCTTTGAATAATAAGAGAAATTGAAGAACTTCATTGCATTATGTATAGTTAACATTCAATTGGGCTAACGGTGGACCACACAGTGTAGTACAATCCGATGGCCCGGCCGGTAGCTGTACTAAATCATGTATGTCACATACCAACGTTCTCTTGTATATCCACGTAATATATCTTTCTTAACTTTTGATTTTTCCTTTCTTCCACACAGCCCGTGCTGGTGCTTTTAATAGCGGTCAAAAGCTCAGTGGAACCTTCGATTATACCGTTAAAACTTCCGGCGACATATTTTATTTCTGCGATGTCCCCGGCCATTGCGAAGAAGGGGGCATGTGGGGCGTAATTACCGTTGGAAGTTCATCCGGTAATTCCTCGTCAACAGGTGCAACTTCAACTAAATCATCTGCCTCTAGTACTTCAACAACAATTGTTACTCTATTGGTGTTTATTTCAAGCGTAATCATAGCTTCTTTCTTAGCATAATAAAACGTTTCGAAATTGGTTAATTTCTTTTTAAGGGTGTTTACGATGGACGAAATGATTTGCAAATTAACAATCACATGATTCTTAGTCCAGAAAATTTTGGAATATATTCTAGATTTTTTAATGTAATAAAAATAATTCTTAAATTTTTTACCTTTCATAACATAAACAAGGTCCGACCGTCAGTGATTCATCAACAAGTACAGGTGGTGTGCATTCAACATCTGAACCTATTTCTTCTGCTCCTACTCAGTCGGTGACTATAAGTGCCTCTCTATTATTAATATTGCTATCAAGTGTGACTATGGCTGCTTTCTTGATGCCTTCACTTACATGTGTATAAAGAAAAACCAGACTTTGTTGGGTCGGGTGGGTTATTAATAATAATTTTTTTGCTTATTGGGTTCTCATTTATGTACTACTTCGGGTTAATGTCTATCTCAATAAAATTTTTTTGTCATTTTCGTTTAGATCGAATAAGATATCCCACAACGTGCATCTCCTAGCAAATACATCTTGTCGATTGCCGAGATATTAATTGCATTTGAGTGATCAATGTGATTCGATACCTTTGTTGGTGAATTTATTTTGTTAAATTCATGAATAAAAATATGCATTTTATTTAAGATCTTTCTATCACGCGACATTATAATTAATTAATCTAATTTCGGGCTATCAAAGATTAACACGCGAGTTATCGCGCATTTTTCCGAATTGGTATAATGAGTCGTAGATCGTAATATTTGTAAATCGTGATATACAGTATTAATGATCGTGATACTTTGAGTCTGCTTTTAATACACACATTTAAAAAATGAAACCAAGTATACTAAAATTTGATTATATTACATATAAATGTAATGGACATTACAAAGCAATCTTTATTACTGTAATTATAGTTGGAAACGTAAAAAAATATAAAGTTACAAAAGCTTATTTGGCTAATCGTTGCTAAAAATATTAGCCTATATTGATACAAAAAATTAATAAAAGAAATTATAAAATGCAATTTCTTTAAAAAGTATTTATAAAAAAAATTAGATTAACTAGATCAATTGATCTTTAATAAATACAAAATTATATTTTCAAATTTTAAATGTACAATAATACATTATTGTTACAAATAATACTATCTAAATATCTTTTAAGTATAAAATGAAAATTATGCAATTAACAAATACAACTTACAAGAAATTCAAATATTATTATAATTTTATTTTAGATACATGTACAATCTAGTTCAAAAAAAACAATAAGTTAAATTAAATAAAACTTTTAATATATACTATTTATGATAGAAAAAATAATATATTAAAGTTTTATCAATATTTAATTAATAATTTATTTTAAAATATCAGTTTAAAGTTGAAAAAAAATATCTTTTTAAACAATTACAAAATTTAAATATAAATTTAAATATAAATTATGTTTAGAAACCAAATTTTTACTATAATAAATTTTTCAAAAAAAATTATTAAATATTTTTTATCATGTTTAAATAATAATATTAAAATTATTTTATTTTTTACTTTCTAAAATTAATTTTAATATAAAATATACAAAAATTATATAAAATTATAAAAAAATTAATGTATTATAAAACATATTTTTATTTAACAAATTTAAATTAATTGTTTTTTTTTAAGATTTAAGAATATTTTGATAATATATTTAAAAAAAGTTTATTCAATAAACTTATATTTTATATTTTCAAATACAGTATATATATAAATATAATTTTATAATATTTATTAATTAATTATTAAATTGTAAATAAAATTATAAATATAATTTATTCTGGTTTTTTTCAAACCAAACTGTATATTCATAATTTTAAATAATTTTTAAATTTTTTTAAAATATTAAATATTTAAACTATATTTAAAAAATAAATATATTAAATTTTTTATATAATTTAAAAACCAATTTATATAAAATAATTATAATATTTATATATATATATAAATTAATATATTTTCATTTTATTTTATTAATTTTGTTACTATATGTTAAATTAATTTTTTTTTTTTTTGAGTAGGTAAATACTATTTCTTTATTTATTTGTATATTACAAGATATACATTTAGAAAGAAACAACATCTCTTACGTGCAATTAGCAGCAAGTTTAATGCTAACCTGCCTACAGTAATCATTTAACTTCTACTAGAAAAGACATTTTAAAACTAGTATACTAATCAAATGATGCTGAGCAGCTATGTATGCCTACTCA